CCAAAATCAAATTAGTTACGGCAAATCACAAATCATGTTCTTTCAAGTCAAGTCCAAGGTCATTTTTCCAAGTCTAGTCTCAAGTAAAAAACAAGAAATGAAAATAGTGATTCCTTTCCAAGTCAGCGACACTGAACAATTTCCCTCAACCTTAGTTAATCCAAAAAAAAAAGTTCTTTCGAGAACAAGTTTTATTATAAATGCACATGTAACTCTGCCTTCAGAGACCTCTCAATTTGTTGCACATTCACTACATGTAGGTACACATCCTCTGCAAGAGATGACAAAAAAACAAAATGTAATCTTTACTATTTTCCAAAACTTCCTGGCGTGCATGAGGCCGGTGATTCTTTTCATCAGATACTAAATGCATGGTCCCCATTTCCAATTGTTAACTGGCCATACAGATCTAGCCCAATTATACTGCTGTCTGGAGGGCATCAAGCGTGATCGTTTCTTCCAGCTATTGTTATGCAGTTTCGGGCGTGATCCCACGTTCTGAATGGGGCCCAAGCGAATGCGGGAGTACTGGGGGATTTACAACAGTGGGCCCGTTCCTCGCGTTCACTCGGGTCAGAACGGGAAAAATACTTTTGATCTTTGCTCTTACTGAGATGAACCAACTGATGATTTCTCAAGAGCTCTGAAAAGACAGTTGTGTGTGTTCAACATAAATGTTCTCAGCACCAGTCATATGGTAGGGGCCTGGGAACAGATGATTCATTCAATCAGGAATGCCTGAACAGCCTTATTGCGGCAACATACGCAACAGTTGGACGATATGCTGTTGAGGACCCTCATAACTGAGGCACAATTGGCAGTTGTAAACAGTCGACCTCTCACATATGTTGACACAAGAGCACTAGATGTCCCAGAATGGCTTACACCAAGTCAACTCTTGATGTTGAAAGGAAAGGCAGAGCTGCCTCCACCAGGAGTCTTCATCCAGCAAAACATTTACTGCAGACACAGATGGCATAGAATGCAGTACCTCGCGAACCAGTTTTGGTCATAATGGAGAACTGAGCACAAGTCAACACCACAGGAGAGAAAGAAATGGATGAGGCTGCAGAAGAATCTACAACGGGGCAACATCGTCATGATGATCAACGAAAACAACACAACAATGCCAGTTGCAACTGGCGCGTCAGAGATACATGCTCCGGTTTCGATGGTCACATCTGGAAGGTCAAGCTTCAGACAATTCAATCTACCTTTGATCAGCCTATCCACAAGGTGGTCTTGCTGTTGGGATTATCAGGCATAATCTTTCAACAGACCTAATCCATTAAGTCTCTCCTAATTATAAGACCTGTCAAAAGTGTGTGTGTTCACTTGGGTTTAACAACACAAGTGCTGGTAAGACTTTTACTCCTCTTCTTTTAGTCTTCTGTCATGTAGTAACTTTTGAGATGTAAGTTAGCAGACTTGAATGTGTTATAAGAATTTCAAGATAAAGCCAAACATTTGCCTTGCTTTTTCTTACAAACACTATTGACTATTTGTTAGCAGTTAACAGCACATTCCATCTACTTGATTCATCAATTTCCTTCTTGTATTATGCAATTTTTCCTTGTAAATTCTTGGGTGTTAATGTCAAAGCCAAAACATTTATAAAAGAATCACATATTTGTATCTTTAAGGGTTGTGCTACGCCATTATAACAACTCACACTGCAGAACATTTCCTGTAATGAGCAGTGTCTTACTTTCTACGGATTTGACTTTCTTGACTTTCCACAGCTCATGTGTTTATCAAGGTGCATTTGGACAACATGTGATTGTACAACAAAGAAGTGGGGTATGTTTGTTCGATGTGCACAGTTACATAATTGACAATTAGCCAAATTGGACATTTTATGCACGATATGTGGCAACCAGGACCCCCTCAATTGTGTCTTCTTTGTGTTGACGGAATCTTTGGAATTCCTTTTAGATATCTGGGGGGATGGGGGTATGCAGAGGCACAATAGCCTGAGGGTATATGGCTTGTGCATCACATTGGGGGGGCCCCATTGCCACATATCGTGCTGGATATAAAAGTGGATGCATGGAGTACCAACTCAAGAATGTCTTGACGAAATTTCAATGTCACATATTTTGCACATCTTGATGTTCATTTTTACACTGCCTGGTCTGCCAAGATTACCAAACATGTGACATGAGCATGGCCTGAGGGCAGGTACTAGGTACACGTAGCTGTATTATTACAGATAAGTTCATCTCATGTTTTGGAGAGCATTACGTCCAATGCATGTCCCAAATGATGTGTGTGAACAAGGATATTGCTTCAGGTCAAATAAATCAGTAAGTTCAGAAACGCAAATGCTTGACAATCAAACTAGTTGTCAACGTGGAAGTTGAAAAATAAAACAGCAATTAACAGAAAATGTGGTTCAAAACAAGATGTTCTGAAAGGGTCGAAAAATCTGTCACAAATAAAGGAAATTTCAACTGCCCACTCAGTGTTTTGTTTTTTTTTTTGTGGCCCGTAGACCAGTATCGGACGTAAGGGTGTTGAGCATTTAGCTGTTGTAAGCAGATCAATAAAGTCAACGGTGTCCCACTGTCCATGGTCATTTTGATGCACACCGAATGATTTTTGTCTGCACATGCCGACTCCACCACCTTGTCTGTTTATATGAGGAATACGGTGCACTTGTTGGGATGGTGAAGTGGACCCCCCAAAAAAATCAGCGATTGGTTATCTCGATCGTCCCCTGTCAGCAATGGACAAAATGTCAACTTGATAGGAAATGACAAGATCACATATTATAGGCCTTTCAGGTCTAAAGGACCAAGCATTCCAAAGTACAAACTCAGAATTCAATGGTTGCATGTGACTCTCATGAGGTAAGTCAGATTGGGGGGGTTATTTGATTCGGATAATGTCTCCATTTTCCGGCTTTACAGCCTCTACGTGTTTTGGGCATTCTGTTTAATCCCAGTGACTGTGTTGAAGCTCATACTGAGCTTTGTGGGTGGTTATTAAAAATGTCGAAACCTCTAAAGTTCAGTTCAACAAAGTTGCTGCTGAGACAGACATGTTGTTGAAGTGGATGATGACGTAGAAATGTTCAAAGGATTCTCGTATCTATTTTCATTGCTTGGTGTAGGGTATAGGTTAATATCTCCTGCGGTCAACAGTAGAAACGGATCGAATGTACACACTGAGTTACTGTAGTATGTGATTTCCTGCCTTGATACTTCTTGTGATACCAACGGTTTTTCACAATGGGTGCAAGGGAGTGCGCAAAAGATCCACTGTGCTTTGACTATGTGCTGACCGCAGTTTCATTTGTCAGTGTCCCCTCTTTGTGCAGCCCTTAAGTATGAAGAGAGCTTCCAGAATTTGCCAAGTTTGAGCGCCAGACAGCAGCCGATCCGGACAGGTGGGTTTTTCAGTCTAAAACAGTTGTTTATTTCCCAATTTTGGGGGAAATATTTTGCAGTTTTACTGAGGGTGCATTTTTGATGATTGCCAGTGAATTTCCTTTATATTTTGCTAATTAAACTTCATTTTTGATTTAAACAATGTTGAAATGGTACCGGTAATTATGAGTGTGTCATTTCTAATATCACTGGGGGCAGCCATGTTCGTGTTTACTCAGCTTGTACTCATATAATGTATGTACCCATATACTGTGCACTTTTCATTGTACATTGAATTTTTGATTGTTGGAATCTAAGACTTAGAGCTAGAAACTTTAACCTTAATTATTGTTTGTGCACAAGGAGGTAAATTTTGCCTTCGGGCCCTTCTGTAAATTTCCTGCATAGGGACGGTCTACTTACATGTAGTTTGAAATACACCTTGGTCATAAATCACTTGTCCTTCTCTTTATACAAGCATTTGTACATCAGACTATACTGGTGTACTTCTTGTTCGTTTTTACACATTGCAAGAGAACAGTCTTTTCCACCTTGCTTGTAATTCTGCCTTTGATACGCACGTCGTTGAAAATTAGATCTTTCTCATTTCAAGTTGTCATATTAAGCAAGCCAGGTCATTTCTTACTGAATGTCATTGTAACATTGAACATGTGGTACCTTTTTACAACATTGTAATTTGATGTATCCTTTGATTGCTTATTTTATACAGTTTACCACTCTTACGCACAGTTATCAAAGAATAAATCTGTAAACCCATATCAATGTCTTTTGCTGGTTATCTATTTGGATGGGGGTATCTGTTATTCTCCGAGGCCAGAATAGACTTGATGATGAAAAAGAGGATGCCCAGATAGGGTTGCAGTATATCAAAGCTGTCACTGTGATGCAGATAGCCCACTCTGTACAGTGATAAGCTATCTGGTGTGTACAAAATGTTTTCACAGTTCACTCTATAGCTTTGCTGACTCCAGTTATCAAGTTTTGCAAAAGTACTTCAAAATACTAGGGAGAGATTGTAATAGAATTTGTCCAGTAAAAACTATATTGATATAAACTCAATATCTGGTTGCAAAAGCAATGATAGGATACACCACACCTAGTACTGCAAAGAACAAATTCTCTGCTAGAGAAACAGGGGATATGTTGAAGAACAATGGAGATTTTCATGGTAAGACTGTGTTTAATCCTGTGTATAAATGTGAGAAGATATGGAAAAAAAGAACTGTCAATTAGATCTCCCTTGTGAAGGGGTTACAAAGCATGTTACACTGCAAAGCATCTGTCTTAAACACAGCCCGACATTGCCAATTCACATCATACCTGATCAGTCATGCATGATCATAACATAACTTTCTTATCAACTGAAAGTAGACAACATGTTTCAAGTAAGTTCATCCTTATGAAAAATATTTGTTAGGTACATGTACTTTGTGCTTTAATAAAAAAAAGCCTTGGTTCCCTTTGAGGACAATATACATGAGTTCCAGTTTCATAAACAAAAAAAAAACAGTGCAAGGTCTGTCACAAATACAGGCATGTGATGGGGGGGGAAGCAATTCAGAAAGGCATTCAGAAAAAATTTGCAATGGCAAAGGAACTAGCACTCACCGATGTGGCCGTGATGAACTACTGACATTCCAGACACAAACTATGCTTCGTTGAGATGAGTCATGATCATCGTACTGCAAATATAATTATCATTTTTCTCATATTCAACAAAATGGAAATGAACCAAAGACACTGAAATACTACTTCTTACGGAACCTAAGCTCACCTAGCTATCACAACATGTTTATGTACACAACTATAATATCAAACTTCAAATCAGTCAATGCCTGTTTCTGAAACATAAATGTGAAAGATTTGGAGTTTCTAGGGTTTGCTAATAAATCACAGGTTATGACATGGTAGGGCGTTACCTCATGCTATGACATAGATAGGCTGATGCATTCAAAATACAGCTATTATGGGGCAGCAACTACATAATTCAAATACGCTGCAGGAATCCTTCCTATTTATAGTTCTCTTATTCTTCATACATCGTTTTTATTTTGACATTTTATTGAGATTTCCTTTGATATATCCTTGAGAAATGCAATTACATCTGTAATTCAAATGGGTCTTTCTTTTTCCCAGTGATTCTCTTGTCACTTTAGTTTTCTACCTTCAATGTTTTTTTGTTCCATTTTAAGGTTGGATTAATTGGCTTTCGAGCTACAGTGGTTTATTTTCACTTTTATTAATCCTGGCCACTTTAAAGTGGGTTCTTTTGGTTTGTTGTTTGATGTTTGTCTTTTTATTTTTAATATACGTGACCCATCACGACAAAATGAGCATAAAATCGCATTCCGCTCTTTCCTATTTCGAAGGTTCAAAATCACATTGAAATGGAGGTTAATTTTGGGATTTTGTAATATTTGGAAAGACTATCCCGTCTCCTATTTAATTTCAAGTATTTCGCAGGATCATATAGTTAAAAATGTCATTTTCACAGCAGTTTTGAGAATAGCATTATGCATGCCTGGTCTGAAATGTTGAAACAATGTCGGGAACAAGCACGCACAGCTGCCAGAATAATATCACGTACAACACCAATATCTCAATTTTTGAAAATTCCAACTTTCAGTTCATTTTGTGGTGACAGGTCACATTTATGTTTTAGTTTGTTTTATTCACTCTTAAATTTGGACTTTAAAATTTGGCCTCCTTCTGGTAGCTGGGGCATTAGAGGGACATTGAAATGTATCCCTAATGACCCATTTGTAAAAATAATAATAATACTTAATACACTGTTGACGTTTGAGGCATTTTATGTTGCACCTTACAGCAACCTCTCTGGACACTGCACTCTCTTAGTAAAAATATGTAAAGAGCGGCAGCACATATTAAAAGGGAACCTTTTTGGGTAATGCCATAGGGTTGGGAAACAAAAGTGACTTTATAGTGTGAAATAAATGTTAGAAGGGTTCAAAATGTTCAGCTATCATAGTTTTCAGATGAGGAATATGTAATACTGTTAAATATAGAGACAAATGTTGTGTACACACAATAAGTCGGTGCACCATATGTTGAGGGCTATCACATATAGTGCGGATGTATCATTGACACCAAATTGGGTACTTTAACCATTTCATGTCGGGGCATTTTCCAATGTTGATGATGTTGAGCCGGCATGACTATCATTTTTTCCGTTTTCAAAATCCTTCAAAAATTCAAGTCACTTGACCTTAAAGGGGCACTCTTTAAAGCCCTATATACAGTGAGGTACCAGACCAATTGGGTTCAACTTTGTGTATGGCTGGAAAGGGAAGGGTTTTAGACCAAAATTGAACTGATGGGATAAACACGTCATTGGGTGACAAGTCCTGTGATATTAATGGGGCACTCTTTAAAGCGCTATATATCTCGTGAAGTACTTGACTGATTCGGTTCAAACTTTGTGTATGGCTGAAGCATCGCGTGCTGAGTTCACCCGTACTGCATCCGCAATACACGGCGGGGAACACCTGGAGGATGCGGTCCAGCGGTATATAGCGGACTCTGCAGCATCCAGACTTCAGTTGCCTGATGAAGGCTAGCAGTACCAGCAGCCGAAACATCGCTACCAGCAACACGACACCGGAGTCATCGATTATCTTTTTCCTGTATTTGTCATCCACCACGGTGATTCTGTTTATCTCTTCTATTCATAAGACCCCTTGTACCCTATGATCATCACCACAATTTTTCCTTGGTAATCTACATCCTCAAAGTACATAAGTATAGGAAATGAAATATTCCTGCAACCATTGGTGCTTTGTATGATCAGACAACAACATCAAATTTAATGCTTGCACAGTTGCTTGTATTAGGCTGTGTCCCCAAAGTGTTCATGTGCAGTTACTGCCCATATCAAACACTTTCTTCTGAACTTATTTTGGGAATAAATAGCCAAGTTGTTTATAGATTTTGCACTTTATTTGAATCATTTTTAAGATGGAATTTACACAAAAAGGTATTTCTTGATACTTCATGATCACTCCTCAGAGCGTGAAATTACAGTGGGACATCGGACATTTTCCGAGCACTTATTGTGTTTTTCTGAACAAAATGACAAACGCCTGGACAAACTGTCAGACCAACATATCAATAACAGCTCTTAAAATATCAACAAAATATGTGGAATGATAGTGTCCAATTTGTTATTAGTTTTGTGTTAGAATTACATTACGTCCAAGGCATTCATGTCACTTAGTGCCACGCTGTGTGAACACCCATGTGTGTATACATGTACTTGTACACATGGATATAAAATCGCCCAATAATTCTTTGCGCATCATAAAACGGAGGTCAGGTAAGTCATGCACTCAGCCACGGTTCTTCCAGTTCAACCCGAGTATGGTGCTATGATCTTCAAATCTAATAATCATGAAGCGAGGAATCACTTCATCCAGTTATGATAGTAAACAAGGAGTAATGTGAAGGAAAGTCAAGCATGATACTTTCAAGAAATGGGTCTCACAATACGATCACTACCATCAGACTTTAACATGGCTTGATTGCGAGACAGAATCTGAATAAGGTGCGAAAGTTGTGACACGATTGAAATGCTGTATATGCGCCAAGTATAAGCAGAGGATTGTTGGGAGGAAGAATTTTAACGAAAAAGGGGATCAGTGGAGCAGACTCGGTGGGAACAACCAACATTTTCAATCATGCCATATCCCACCATCAGGAGCACGTGATGAACCTGCACAAGAGAGAGCAAGCTAAAGTGGAAGGTGCAACTGTTAGTTTGTATGCTTCCATCACACAGTCATTAAGTTGTATTTCTTTTGGCAATTTCACGTACACCAGAACGTTGAGAGACTGCAAAGACATGCGTGTTCATGCACACCTGTGTAAATTAATTGCTGACCGACAAGAATCGTGACTAAAAATCCTCTATTGAGGTTGTGCATGGTAAGAGCCTTTGTTCCACTGGGGTTCACATGAGTAGACCTTTTGTGCTATACCCATAACAAAAGCAGTTAACAGAAAGATGGCTGCCAGCACAACCTCTATTCCATATTTGTCAAAAAGGACCAGACTTCGAACATAATGAGAAATACATATGAACCTACCTCTTCTGGTCTAGAATGCACTGTCACTAACAGATTAGTTTGAACTGGATGAAACTGCACATAACTTGCATATCGCCCTGTAAGGACATTTAAAAAGCAAAATACAAATAACACAACAGCTATGCCCATAATCACCTATTTTCAAATGTTCAAATATCAGTACTCATCAATCAACAATTTTCAGTTTATTTTTCATGTTTCAACAAACTTTTCCTTTCTGCTTACTCCATCATTAAACCTTGATGAAATTTGCAGAATTTGAAAAACATACGTTTCAAAGCTTATGACATTTCACATAATTTTGCATCATGACACTTTCTCATGCACATAACCAGTATTAAGTTTTCATAAAAAGTTAGATTTGCATGTACATGTAAGACTATTCCTGTACAAACAGACACAACAAAAAGAACTTGAACTTTGTGTTTGTTTCAGTCACATACACAGGGTGATGGGGCTATGTATCAATATGATAATGATACAGGGTTTTGACACAGGAACCTATTATTCGTGCAAGAGAACATCTATTTTGTGAGCTGAATCCTATGTGCCGTGCAGCTTGAAGGCATTAACTATAGCCTGTAAAACATCCCTCCCTAAGAAAGGAATTATTTTCAGTCTTATAGTGTTGTAGATATTGACCTGTCAAGGGTGCACATTTAAGGTCATGCCATGTGACACATGAGTGCTTTAAATATAATCATTAGTTCTATTTTAACCTATTATCTATAACCAGCTACGATTGTAGTTGCTTCTGATTTTATTGAACGTGCAGTTCTATGGATGATGGCCTCTGATGATTCATCTTTGACTGATGAGGACGTCATTACCACACAACCCAAATGTCATCTATAACATTAACTTGACTATGAGAATGTACAATTTGACTTGAATTCCTCCTCCACAGAAGTGTGGGCTGAGTCTGCTAGGGAATACCTACCCAAACAATCCTAAATATGCAGATTGCCCTTAGTACCTTTTGTCATTCACTAACAACTTGAACTGTAATACGCATTCTAGTGCCACAATGCATTGCAGTGCCCCAACCATGTTCGTCCTTTTTTTAAAGCATTTAGGGTCTGAGTCAGAATGGGGAGGACGGGCAGGCACTGACTGTTTTGGTAGGTATTCTCAAGTGGACTTGTCCAACACTTCTATGGGGGAGGAGTCCCATGTTCAACCTACCCAAACAGTCTTTCATATGCAATGTAGCACCGATCCCAAGAGAAGGGTTGGTGAGGATGCACCGGATAAATCATAAGTGTACAAAAGAGGAGAATCATGTGAGAGATCATTTAGGTAATTTGTGGGAATTCAACAAGTGGTTCTGTCAAGATGATCTGGTAGCAGTCTATCCTGGCGAAGAATTGCCTGCCTTCGGCACTGCTGACGTAAGGATTGTCTTGCCATGAACACAGTTTGTCTGCAAGACATCACACAGGTAGCACAAGGTAAAGGCAGAGGGTGATGTCTAGCAGGCTGCTTTGCATATGTCTGCGAGTGGGACATCCTGAAAGTAGGCCCAGGAGGTAGATTCAGCTCTGTTTTCATGAGCTCGGATATAACACAGAGTTTGACTGACAGGAGAAGTCGGCAAATCCAGGTTGACAAATTTGACATTTGAAACAGTCTATCAGGTGACAGTGTCCCCTGGATGCTGGTGGATGGGTCTTGACCAATGTCACAAATAGTTGTGACGTATTCTGTCTGATCTTTCTGGTTCATGCCAAGTACCACTTGGGAGTCCAAACAGGGCACAAATTGGAGTGACGCAGTCTGCTTCTTTGTATGGAAACCTAAGGCTGGAATGAAGCGGACTCTGTGAGGCTCCCAGCGGATGTAGCCATCAGCAATGGACAGCGCCCTACCTCTGCGAGATGTAACTACAGCTAGCAGGAAGGCCAGCTTCATGGAGAAGTGTGGTAAGGATGTATGGCTAATTGGTTTGAAAGGAGAGCCAGCAAGAAGTTGACAGACACAAGTCAGGTCCTAGGGTGGGAAGAGGTATTGAGTAGGTGGGTGCTCAATAAACATCCCACATAGGAGGTGTTTAGAGTGTTATTATCAGATACAGAGGAGCCATTGGCAAAGCCATTGTGCATGGCAGAGATGGCCAACAGTAGTTGTGAATTGTAGCTACTTAGAGGCCTGAGCAGAAAAGATGCATGAAGAAGTCAGGAAAGCACTGACAGGCACTTCAGCCGGAGCCAAAGCCTGGCTGTCGTACCAAGAAACAGAATGCTGTTTTCTGCTGTCGTAAACCTTATGGATGGAAAGGTGTTGTCCCTGTACAGCCATCTTGGAAGCATCAAAAGAAAGGCCCGCCATTCTAAAGGATCTTTGGACAATGGCCAGCATGACAGGTGTAGATCAACTGGTTGGGGGTACAAGACACATAACTTCAATTGCTGTGGAAGATCCGGTCTGTTACCTTACAAGTACGTGGTTCAGATCTACTAGAGAATACCTACCTAAATGACCTATAATTTGCCTTTACATCATTTGCTAAATCTTGATCGACTGCAAGTGTGCCCTTGTCAGTGTTGTAGTCGTCGAGACTGGTTTTGGTCTCGAGACCTGTTTGAACGTGGTCTTGGTCTCGAACATGCTGGTCTTGGTCTCAGAGTGTTGGTCTCGGTCTTGATCTTGCACCAAATGTTTTCAAAATTTTCAGCCAAGATCAGTACAAGACAAATGTATGCACCGTTTCATACCTGATTGATGATCAATTTCGACTGTTTGTAGGCCTACGAAAAACTTGAATTGAGGCCCTGCAAGATCTAAGTACGGCCGTCAAGGACTGTACGTACAAACGTTTGTTGTGGCTATGGCTGGTAGTAGCATGTCATGCACAAACTTCACCCTTTGTGTGAGTTACGTGTGCACCCAAAGTTAAAACGTCCGCGGCCAAAGCTTTTGCTCATTAGATTGCCATTAGATTGCCCACGCAACGTTGAACCTTGCACCAGGAAGATGATAGTAAGTGACAGCCCAAAAAATAATTGTCACAGGTTACCGGCCATAAAAAGATACCTGATTGTTGTTGTCAGGGTACCTGTGAATACATAGTCACATTGTGCGGTCTGGTAATTAGACACTTATTTATTCACTGTTTGTTGATCTCAAACTTGACTAACAAGACACCATTCCGCGATAGTATTTTTGGTACAACGTGCAGTGCCGTATTAACATAAAGTCTTTTCCAGCTATCATGTCTGCCAATTTGGCAATCATTCAGTATGCATTCAAGGACCACAAGGAATACGTCAATGTCAAAATGGGTGGCCAAAAACATGTCGCTGTGTGTGTTTTGTTCATGAAAAAAAAACAGCATCAGTGATAAGGCAGAAACAACATCTGCCTTCATCAAACACGTGCACTGCCATCACCCTGTGAAGTACGTATGTGTACCAGACTACTACAGTTGACTCTTATTAATACTTGGGCATCAGGACTTTATAAATTAGCTTGTATTATCCAGACCTTATATTACGCGAAAGCTGATGTCCTGCTCAACATATGTATCACAGATCGACCGTAGGTAAAGCGTTCATGTGTATGTGTACATGTGCTGATTTTAAACAGTTTGTTTATAAAAGTGAGATACAGTTAAATGAATAAAGAATAGTAAAAAAAGAAAAATTATAAAATGTAAGAATGGAGGAAGCGAAATTTCCACCAGTCATATTGATTCGGAGCGATGCCGTATCACACGCCCCTGGCCTCAAATGCACGCACATAATGTAAGTACATGAATATTTTAGTTGATGACCAACACCAGAGCTGCGCTTGTTGCACATAAAAATGGGAAGAAACCAGCTATTGGTGGTGTGGACAGCAGACGGTGAATACATATCGGACTTTACTTTAGAAAGGCGTGTGGGTTTGCAGAAAAATTACTAGCAATGGATACACTTTTTTCTTCAAAACTTGTGGATGTTATTTTGGGACTGAAAACTACAGTTTAGTCAGGATTTTCTTATATTGAGAATTTATACAAATGTCAAAATCAGAAGGGGTGATATTTTCATATTACAGTTGGGAGCGACAAACAATTTTTCGATGGGGGAGGGCAGTTTTTTTGGGCCGGGTGTTTGGTTACAGAAAACAATTTTTATTAGTTTCCTGGGAGGACTTTGGTCTTGGGGAATTTTTTAGGGGCAGGGGAATCAAATGAAAGATTTCTTTGTTCCCCACTGTCCTAAATATCATAGTACTTTTGGCGGCACTCACTCGTGTTCAGGTGGTTCAAGAGCTGCCTCAAAGAATTTCTGTGTTGGGTACGGGAACTACAAATACCCATTGTTAGTCTCTCTTGCAACACCGGACACAAACAGCTTGATTCAGTGAGGGAAAACTGCAGTGCTGCTCTACTGTATACGCCTAAATTATGGAAGCACCTTTCAAAATTGAATGAACTGGCTGATTGACAAGTTGCCTTCAAAAAACTTTGTGCTAAATAGACAGATGATAATTGATTTGCACTCTGCCAATGCACAAAAAATGCTCATCTTAACCGAAATCTTGTAACATTCCAGCTCGAATTACACATTTTTTTTCCCGCATAGAAATGTGCACAATTCAGTTGGGACTGGCAAATATGCTCGTCTAAACTGCAGTCTCCTTTTACCTAAGCACATATTACCGAGAGTCAACTGTACTAGGAATAATCTTTCAGTCCTCATGTTTGTTTCAGTTTTAAAAGAATCTAAACTTAAGGCTTAAATGTTCAAACAATCATAAACTGTTTTGTGCTTGATTTTTAATGGGTATGTAATGTCATGTTTAGATCACAGTCCCTAGTTTGAAATTAAAATAAATTGGTTTAATTTTATCATTTTAAAATGGATTGAGCTGAAGTGCATAAAATTACGAAGTACCGTTTTTTTCATACTTTATCATTTTTCATATTTATTTTAGGTCCCATTATTTGTTATACTTGTTCAAGTTGTTGCACGCGATTTTTTTTCTACTTCAAGATATTTTTATTTTTCCAAACTCACCTGCTTGCCCAATGTACATGTAAATCCTTGTCCTGTCTCCTTGTGAACCTTGTCATAACATTGAACACAGATGA